CACTGCTGCTTCCTTCTGTCATAGGTTGGCGTTAGACTTCGATACATCTGGTATCATCTTCTCCTACGACATGATGGACTTCTTTAGGTGTAAACTGCTAGTGAACTCCTGCATCACAAAACAACTTGATCAGTATACATCAACAATAAACATAATGATAAAGTGAAATCCCAGCTTATACCTGGAAAGCACTTGAAACCCCTAGTCTGCGGCCACGACCGTGCCTATCTGGTTCAAGCGAGTCTCGTCAGTCGGAAACAAGAATGAGTCAGCCAACTGACTCATGGAAGTCGCGTCCGAGTAGGTCAATGCAGAAGTTGGAATGCTAAAAGTGGTCCTCTTAGTCTCCTCATCCAGTACTACAGTCTTGGATGATCCAACTCTGGCTGCGAGCTGACTACTCGGTGGAGTCGCTGCCACATCCTCCGCTCTTCTTTCCTCTCTAGCCTAGGATTCCCTCTTTCATTTCTCCCGATGCCTCGCAATGGACTCGCTCATGCTCGAGAGAGTCAGCTTATTCATTAGCTTTTCTGTAATCACAAACTCTCCAACAGTTAGTGGATTTAGCTTCGACTTACCATACAAGGTATGATTGCAGTAGCGAGTGAGCAGCACACTCCAAGTTTGCTTCACTGAAGGGAAAGGGATACCTTGCTAGATGGCTTCTACCCCGGCCTAAAGATGGCTCGTCCTAAGGTTAGCTACCTCTAACACCACCCGTCAATCCCACCACGCTTTCGGAATTGCCAATACCATCTGGGTCTACACGTCCAAGCCGTCCCCCAGCTTTATCTGGCTCAGTTATATTCAAGCTCTGCAAAGGAAAAACACAATAAGATTTTAGTAATCAAAATTCGAGGAAAAGACAAAGTTTCTCACCAGTAGCTCGCCAAGTAAATGGGATGTCACCCTAGCCTTTCTCCCCAAAGACTGTATCACCACGCATAAAAAAGTACCAGTCCTTACAGTTCTTATCACTCGACCAGAGATCAGTCACAAGGTAGGCCCGCTCGTGTCTAAGGTTCAGTAGGTATCGACCTTTGTCCTTGTTGTTCTCCTTTAGAAAATAAAAGTAAAGCAGCTCGTGCAGCCCAACCATCACCTGATGCCGCATACAAAGGTCCTTCAGAGCCATAAGCAACCTCCACCCATTCAGCATGAGTTGGGACGGAGCAATCCTAAAATGGTCAAAGACCTCCCATACCAAGCGAGGAATGGGAAGCCTGAGCCCATCATGGAACCACTTCTCATAGGCGCTCACCCATCCCTTTGCTTCCTAGTCAACCCGCTTGTACGAATAAGGCGTCCTAATCTCAACGGATTTCGAAATGTGATACATCATCCGGATCCGCCACACGTCATTATCCTTCAGAAGAGGTGGACAATCTTGGCTAAGTATCCCACCGCCTGATCGACTCGGCTCATCCTCAAAGCCACTACCAGATAAGGATGGACTACCAACTCCTTCGGAGTCTTCCCCACTACCCCCTTGCCTGTCAGGCTCATCATCACCAAGGCTAGGCCTATTGGTCACAAGAGTAGCTATGTTCACTCCGGTCGGTGTACCCACTGGAACGCCCCTACCTTTGGGCATCATCACCATAGTCGGGGCATTCTCATATTCATTCTTGACCTCTGCCTCTGCCCCACTAGAACTGTTGGACTCCGACCCAGACATTTTCAACCTATTCTCTGTACTCAACTACCACTTGACCCTCACCTCTGACCATACTAATCCTTTCTAAAATATGTTAAATTTTGCTTGTCATGCTCCACCAACCAACCTCTCCTGTTCAAAACCTACACTACCCAATGCCTAAGTGTCAAATGACTAGTCGTTCCTTACTACCGACCAGCCCAGTCCTTTTAAAATCAATACCTATTGGGACACGCTTGCCCCAGTCAACCGACCTAAACTCAGGGTACCACCCCTTTTATAGTTCCACTCGCGCTAGATCACCGACGGCTCCAAAACAATAGGGTATCCGTGCATTCCCCTGCTCGGACTGGCCCACCGAACACTTTCTCAATCTGGCTCTCCGTACAACTGTCCAACCACTCGATCAGTATGATCGAGCGACCTGCCTCTCCTAACTTCTCAATGATTCAAAACAAAGCCTAAGTCTTTCACTCAACTCAGTTAGGCAGGCCGAGGCAAGCCGAACCGAGACACCCTCTAACTTGGTTCCGTCTTCTTTCATTATCCAAAATCCCAAAAAAGGCCAAAATTCCAAAAACCAGTTACACTCACTCAAACCACCCCCCAATCTTCTAGGAAAACCAAATACAACCACAACCTCGCCCCACCGGAAACTCAAATCGCCATAAAATTTGAAAAACTTAGTCAATCTATTCCAAAACAAAAGAAAACCCCAAAACCCTTTTGTTTGTCCCTTTTGATTCCTCTCCACACACCAGAAATCTCCCTAAATCAGCACCAAACTACTTTAGAAACAAGCCAAAAGTAGTAACAATTCAAAAAATTAGAAAAAGAAGATCCAGTATAAACGTTTATCGTGAAAAATGACCAGAAAAATCCTAAAAATGCAAAAACTTTTCCCTGCAATACACTACAAAAACGAAAGGAAAAGAAAAAGAAAAATTCTCCAAAAGGTGTCCACCCCAAAGCGTTTAGACATCAATTTTAATAGCTTTCCCATCGGCCGTCCACGTGGCAGCATTCACTCTACCCTAGGCAAATTGCCTATTTGAATTCCCGCCCAAAGGAAGAACGAATCTCCATCGTACACGTGGAGCAAATCCGTGCACGCTGAGAGATCATGATCACAAGCGATTGCAATTCTTGATTGCATGATCCACCCAACCGACCTTGCAAGATCATGAGTACCATTTATCCATGTTGAGCTAACATAACTTCGCACTTATTTCGTTCAAGACGCCCTCCCGACCTAGGCCAGAGATCGGGATCATTTACCCCGCCTTTAAGAGATCCTGGACAAGCATTGCCAAGTCGAAAGGCCAAGTCACTCGGTCCTCACGGACGAACGAACCAGCCATACCGAATAAAGGAACATCGAGGAACCACTCGCACTAGCCATTCGCCCAGGTATACCAAATGAGTACACCATCATTCGGTGTATCGCACACCTCCTAGCTCTGGTGGACAGACCAAGTGAGTGAACATCTAAGAGAACCTTTCGCGATCCACCCGACTCGACACATCGGTCGAACCCAACAGGATCGACCCTACTCGTACACTCGGTCGAATGCACCGAACGCGCCCATAACTAGGCTTATCTTCGACTCGACACCCTGGCGTACCCAACGCCCCGACAACAACAAGAGCTATACCATTCATTCCCGAGAGCACAAGGGCAACGCGTTGATATGTTTTACCGATCAGCCGAGAAGGTCGACCAGTGGTACCTCAGAGCCGAGCCTACTCTCTAAGCTAAATCCTCCTTAACTTAGAGAGTGTGGGGCAAACTGTTAGGGCAAAAAAGTGTCCCTGGCCTAACTAGGCCCAGAGACGTACATACCATTATCCAAGCTGAAAGCCTAGGCCTAGGCCTAGGCCCGATGCGGCCCAGGCCAGAATTCCCCAGATGAGGCCCATTCGGTATGAAGTACAATTGGTCCGTATCATTGGGACCCGGGCCTCCTGATCCTAGCACACCTTCTGGGCTTATGGTCAAATTTGGAGCCCACGGTCACCTACGGATCACACTCCTACTTGAACTCCGATAAGGCAGTCAAGTATTATCCCAATTCCTCCAAGGTCCGTATCCGAGTCATGCTCAGACTCCTTTTTACGCCAAGATAAGAGGGCCAAAGGATACATCCCTAGGAGGAACGATTGCTACGAGGACTCCTAATCACAGTCACAATTTAAACAGAGGCCAGCCCTCTCACAAGACACAGGACATTATACCTTCAAACCCCGGAGTTCTCGCTAGAGAACTTCGCATTATAGCCGTAGTCATAGTCCTCGACTAGACTTCTGATAACCTCTCTACTCCCTAACCCTCACTAAATTAGCCTCTTTCAGCCTTGCTGACTTGAGCGTCGGAGTGCCTATGGCAAACACTACCCCGGTGCTTTCCGTCGCTTCACGTTTGTTTCTCTACGTGTGCAGGTGCAGCAGATTGCTAATGGCCTCAACCTCACGGGATCAGTCCCTCTTTCCGTACTAGATTTTTACGTCTACAGTAATGGCTAGGTATGGCTTCCTCTTCCCCTCTTATGCTAATAAACTCTTTGATTAATACTAGTTTGATCAGTGAACTTTGATTTCTGGTTCATTTGTTGTTATATTAATTGTTTTCTATACTTGTAATTTTATTTTTTGTTGGAGTTATCAACTACTTTAGCATTGTTGTTTTACGTAGACACATTCGGGGGTCTCGTTGCCCGGTCAACTCTTTATGTTATTAATTCCTTATTGGGTTGGGCTTAGGAATAGAAATCCTTGTAAAACTAGGTTTTGTCACTTAAACCTAGTATATAAACATATTTTTCTCTTATTATGAGTATGATAGCAAATCATAGGGCAATTCATTCATTGTAAACGAGAGAGAGGCGAGGAAATATTGTAATAATATTGACTCGGAACGTCCATATTGGGTAAACCAAGGTAAATTGCGTGTGTTATTTTTTCTGTATTTATTATGTGTGATTTGCTTTATTGTTGTTTTGTTCTCGTTGCTGTTCTATTTTGTTCAATTTCGCTGTTTCAAAGAGTTGAGGGTTTGCGGTTTAATTTGCATAAGACTGTGTATATATCTTGATAATTTTTAAGCATATAATGTTTTATCATTTATTTTAAACCTTCTGTTAATTGAAGTATGAACATATTTAAAGTGTTTGTTAAATTCTTAATTGTTAATTTAAATCTTGGTTTTGATTTGTTGCTTTTTGGGTAATTTGTGAAGTTCAACTTCATTTGGGAAAGGTCAAGAGAAACATATATAGAGGTGAAAAACCTTTCTGGAAGAGAACTAGAGCCGAATGTTTGCAGAGTCAGATAGAGAGGTAGACAAATGAAGAACCCTCAGGAAAATAAAGAGATAGATGTACTGCCTGATCTTCCTGAAGAAATTATCTTCGAAATTCTGAAACGAGTTCCAGCTAAATACCTTCATGAAAACTTTAGGTACGTATGCAAAGGATGGAATAATTTAATCTCTAGCAGCATGTTCATAGCCCAGAATACTCCACAAAACAAATCTGGAGTGCTGATATCAGTCCCTACCACTGACATTAAATGGCCATCGAAAGTGGTTCAATACCAAACCAAACTACTGGAGATGGATGATAAGGTGCTTGGCTTCAAAGTCAGTAATGTTGATATGCGTCGAATGGGAATGATTAGGTCCAGTTGTAATGGTCTAATTTTAGTAGATGATCCGAAACGAAGAGGGGTGTTTCATGTTAAGAACTTACTCACCAAGTCTTGTCTAACTCTCCCTAAATGTCACTCTGGTTGTCTACACAAAGCTTGTGGCGCAGCCTTGGGGTTTGACACCTGTAAACAAGAGTACAAACTGGTACATATGTATGCTGATGGTTATGGGTTTGAGATATTTACTTTGGGTTGTTCTGATAATGCCTGGAAAAGGGTTCCAGGACCATTCAAGTATGCATTTGAGCGACCCTTTGACATGGAAAGATTTAGATGGAGAGATCCTGTGTCCATAAACGGGCGAATTTTTCACTGGTATGTTGACTCAAATGACTACATTATATCTATGAATATAAGCGATGAAATATCCATCAGAATGTATCTTCCAGATTCTGCAGGGAAAACCAACGAATTTAGGTACAATTTATTGGAGATGGGTGGAAATCTTGCGTTAGTGTACACAGTTTCAGATACCTAACTTGATGTATGCATTTTGGAAGATTTTGGTGGACAATAATGGACCAAGAGGCATAGCATAATGGCAGAGTCAAAAAATTATACGAACTTCAAGTCGTCTTCAACCTACAAAACTTTGCCAAATTTTCTGTTTTTAGTTGCTGTGGCAGCCATGAGAGATGGTGAGGTACTGATGTTTAAGTACCAGAAAGATGAAGGCAAGGTCGCAGATTGCTCATATTTATATGATATGAAGCAAAGGCAGTTGAAAAAATTCAGGATGAAGATCGAATCTGGAGGCAAGTTCATACCCCACAGAGGCAGTCTTATCTCTTGGGATAATGGGTAAGAGCTATTGTTAAAGAGACCACTATCAAGCCAGACTTTTATTTTTAATTATTTTATAGTAGTTCCATTCCTGTATTGCTCTTACCCTATTCTAGTCCAATGATTTTCTGGGCTTTCAGCATTACTCTTGGGCTCTGCTGTTGGGCTTGTTTCTTCTGTACTATTTTAAAAGCCCTTTTTGATTATTTATTGCTATGTTATAGGGGATATATATTGTTTGTATAAACAATAGATTTAAAGAATTTGAGGAAATATATTGTTTTTATAAGCTTTTAAAAACTAAAAAGTTTCTGAATATGGCAATGCAAATTTATTTATATATTTTTTTATTTAATATGAATCTCAAAATTTGTTATAAATATATTTTTTCAATAATTAAAATTAAATAGAGGATTTATTACATTGTTTGTATCTAAAAGGCTGAATCACCAAACATTTAATATAGACAAGGATGAATAATGTTACAACTAAATGCCATTAATTTTCCATCTTATCCTTTGAAGCAATTTATTAAATTTTTTTTTTATAATCTAATAATTTTTTATAAAAATTTAAAAAGAAATTAATTTACTGTTCTGCCCTCAACATGCCCGCTGCCGCCACCATGAATGATAGTTACTATTTGGGCTTCGACGACGTTGACCCGTGGTTAACCATTTTGTTTTTCATTTTTTATTTAATAAAACGTAATTTTATATTTAAGTTGAATAAATTTATTATAACATTTAATTTAAATAAAAATATTTTAAATTAGGAAATATTTTTGTCTAATTAATTTTTAATATAAGGTATACATATATAATATTCTAAACTTGAGGGTAATATAATCCTATTCCATTCCTTAGTTCCTTTTCCAATCCCATCCAATTTACAAGCAAACCCCACCTTATTTTGGATCCGGGTCATAGGCAAATTCCATAAACCGATTGAGTTGGGATTGGTTCCTGGTCGGACAATCGAACTGGCCAATCCAGTCTGGGTTTCTAATCATTGAATAATTCTCTTTGATCTTCTGCTTAATTAACACTAGTTTACTCTGCATTATTAATTAGTGATCTTTAATGTTTATGGTTTAAAGTCGGATAATACTGTATTTGTTTTGTATTATATTGACTTCTTAATACCATTTTTCAAATTGTTTATTAGTAATTTTGTATATTCATACTGGTAATGAGCTTATGAAATATAATGCCTTTGTTTATGTTTGCATGAATTTGTAGCGTTGATGTATGCCACGTCCAAATACATAGTAGGTGGGTTCCTAGCAATATATATGGTCCATTTTGGGCTTTGTAACCCGCACGGTTTTGTCCTGAAAATAAGTCTCTTGATGGTGAGGGTGACCAAAACCCTCGTCTCATAATCAATGTGGGACTTTGACACCAACACAGGGGGTGAGTGGCCTACGCCCTCCTTCTAGCGCCAATTGTTGATGAGCGTCTTTGGGTGATGAGAGTATCCTTGTGCTATAAAACTATAGAAGTGATAAAGGCTCTCATCTCCTAACCGATGTAGGGCTTTGGCACCAACATGTAGGATTAAATTAATTTCTCTTGTTAAAATAATTAACTTTTTTTTTTTAATATATTGTTGTTTAGAATTATTTCGAAAAATGATGTATACGATAAGCATTTTTTTTGTTGTTGGAAAACCTTTGGATTAACACATCAATTGTTGCAATTAACTCCAAAAAGTAAACATCAAATTATTTTTATTCAGAAATTTTTGTTCGGTTGCTTTGGATTTTTATTTTTATTCATAAAATTTTATTTCAGTTGCTTTGGACTTTTATTTTTATTCAGAATTATTAGAATTTGATAGATAATATTGACCCTAGTAAAGCCATGGGTTTCCAACTTACCCTGCCGACCTTACTTTCTCTTCTTTTCTTCTTGTTAAAGGCCGCGGCCGCTGCAAGGGTTCCTCTGTGAACAAAATTTAGGGTTTTAGATCACATTTTGGATCTCCAAGCTGATCGTACGTGATGTTTAGTGGGCTCCTTTCTGGGCATTCTGTCTGGATCAACAGCTATTGGTGTAGGACCTGGTTTTATTTTATTGATGCATGTATCGGTTTATGTTTGAGATTTGGGTGTAATAAAAAAATATTTTACCATTAACAAAAGCATAATCTTGGAATAAAATGAGGTTTCAAAAATTAAACAGACATGTCAATATTGCACATGATTTTATGAGCTCTAAGTCTAAGATGAGGTTCAAAAATTAGCTTTTATGGTGCCAATTCAGCAAACAACAACAAATGGTGTTTTATGATAATTAATAATTTGTGTGTTATTTATTTATTATTTATTTTTTTGGATAAACCCCCCATAATTGTCAATTGGCATGAATCTTCACCAGTCACTTCAATTCTTGTATTTCCCAATGGAAGCAGGCATATCCCAAGCTCTTTTTATTTTTATTTTATTATTTTTTAATGAAGTATAAAAAGTTGGTCAACTCGATCTTTGACAAGAGAGCTGGTCACTGTACCCAGTGTCCCCCTTTGACAAAGTTTCTCCACAGACCACAAAACATCAATCAACTTTGAATATTTTAATTCGAAACGTTGAAGCAGAGCTTAAAAGTTAACACCAACTATTCAACACCCATTAACTTACGTAATTCAGCAAAGATCCCTACCAACAATAAAAACAAGGGGCCAACTAATGAAGATTTTTGTATCTAAAAATTGTGTCTTTTTTTAAAATTATAAGAATTCGGCAAACAAAAACAAGATAATTATTAATCTGTGTGTCTTATTTGTATTATGTAATCAATGAAACTTCGACCGGTTAGTATATGAAATTCTCGTATCTCCGACAACACTTCTATTTTCAGTCCAACAACTATAGGCAATAACTTTGAGATTGTTATAGTTAGTAATAACTGGGGGGGTGATTGTAATATATTCAGATCGGATGCGATGTTTTGTGGGCTCCTTTCTGGGCATTCTGTTTGGATCAACATACATTGATGTAGGCCATGGTTTTATTTTATTGATGCATGTGTCAATTTGTGTTTTTATTGGCTTTTTAAATATGTAATCCGGCAACCACAATAAGCTGGAGATTATTTTGAATTCCATGAACTATTATTAATCAATGGCATAGCTATATACTGGTAATGGTGATTCGCTTCGCTGTATGAATTACTTAGTATTGTCCTTTGAATCTTAATTTAATCAACAAATTGATTAAGTTAAGAAATAAATGTGATACGTTTTCATGACTTGTGTTTGAGATGTGGGTTAATCAAACAATATTTTACCATTAAAAAAAGCATAAATTTAGAAGAAAATGAGGTTTCAAAAATTAAACATAGATGCCAATATTGCACATGATTTTATGAGCTCTAAGATGACCTTCACATTGATAAAGATGTGGTATAATTTAGAAGTTTGAAGATTAGATTGAATAACCCACTATTGACCCAGCATACGTTATTGAAATATATGGTATATTTCAATTGGCATGAATCTTAATCTGCATTCTACTGTCCCATAACAAAAATGTGATATAAGAAAACTACGGTATAGATATTTCAATTGGCATGATTCTTAATCCACCAATTCAAGCGAATTTCATAAATGTCAAAATTGTCAAAGTTTTTCCACAAAACATCAATATCAGCACCTATAAAGTCAATTGATAATATTTGGAGTGATTCACATGGGCTATTTATGTATCTCATGATGTTAGCACAGATGATTAATATTTGTTTTATTTTTTACTTTTAATCCTTTTTTTCTAATTATGTCTTAAAGCATCATATATTGTCATGAACAAATTAATTAAAGTGAATTGGACCAAGTGAAGATGAGACTAAATTTGAATATTTTTAATTTCTAAAGGCAGCTGCTGTCATAACTCTTTGAAAAAAGACTAGCACCGACTGTCTCTTGCCTATAAAAAATGCTCACCTGGTATCCCAGAGCAGGTGGTAATTAATCAGGAATGGCGCAGGTTTTCTCCAAGGTTTTATCCCCCACAGACATAACACGTAAATTGGCTTTACCAATAAAGGCTTTCAATCGTTTTCATTTTCCGGAAGGTGTTAACTACGTTCATTTTATGGTTACAGATTCAGATGGAATACGGTACAACTTTCGTTTGGCCAAAAGAAACTCAGGTAATTATTCCAAGCCTGAAATCACTAGTGGTTGGCGTCAATTCGCTCGCAATAAAGGTCTTCAACCTGGAGATATGGTCACTCTTAACGTGCAACAAGGTGAAGCTGGTGCAGTGCACTACACAATTAAAGTGACCAAAATGATCGGTTATTTGGTCGTCGTATATATGAAGCTTGAGTGGCTTCTTTGAGAGTTTTCTTAATTTATTCCGATTGGTTGGATTGTCAAGTGCGTTCCTGTTGCAGGTAAACCGTTTTTCAGCTATCTCACGTCTCAAGTAATGGAATAGTGCTTCAGAATTAATGCAGATTATCGTAGTTCAATACTGTTTAAGCAATATTTCTTGAACTTTTAAGTTATAGATATTAATTATGGGGTTAATGTCCTTTTGTTTTTAGTTTTTTTCATTCAAGAATGGCAGTCATGATGTTTTGTTTAGGTCATAAATAGATAAATAAACGGCTTTTTTCTATTGCCTTAGCTTTTTTTTTTTTTTTTTTTTTGTCTAAAACTTAAACATTCAGTTTATCTGCCCTAATTAGG